AGATAGCACATTTAAATGGATCTTTTGAAAATCATCTTCCAAACCTTAAACGTCTGTATTTGAATGGAAATAAACTTACTAAAATTTTACCAAAGGAATTTGGGGGCTTGCGGTCTCTCCTTAACTTATCGTTACATCAAAATCAAATGAAGGACCTTCATAAAGACAGTTTTGTTGGACTGACAAATCTCACTGATGTCCGCTTGCAGACAAACAGTATCACAAGACAGGCCTTACAGTCAGGTGCTTTCAATGCTCTGATTAATCTAAGAAGATTGGATCTATCTTCTAATCACATTAAATATTTTGACAGTCAACCTCTGATGCATCCGCCATTTTCTAATCTGTCCCATTTGGAGGAGTTGTCTATTATTGGTCAGCACTCTTCTGGAAAGTCCTGTCTGCCTGCAAATTTCCTGCAAGGTTTAAACAACCTGTTGAGTTTCCATGCGAACAAAATTCATATTATCTACATTGATAAAGACACATTTAAATACACCCCAAAGCTCGAAAATCTTCATCTTGGGTCAAATGACTTGAGGACTCTGTCTTCAGAACTGTTTGCCCCAATTCAAAACCTTAAAAACCTCTACATACACCGAACAGGTCTTCAGTCGTTAGATTTCTTCATAGAAGCCAACCTGACCAAGCTGGAGTTCTTGGAGGGAAGACACAACCAATACTCAGTCATCACTGAAGATGTAATCAAGTCACTTCCATCGCTCCTGTGTGTTGACTTTACATATATTAGCTTCTCCTGTGACTGTGACAATGCCTGGTTCCTAAACTGGACAATAGCAAATACACAAACACAGATTATTGATGCGCATAACTATTCTTGCAACTATCCGGATGACTTCAAAGGCAAAAAGCTTTTGGATTTCGACTTCCCATCCTGCTTACAGGATAAGGGTTTCATCTGCTTCGTGTCCACAACATGCATGGTTCTCTTTGTTATGGTTATGTCCTTCAGCTACCATTTCATGAGGTCCCAACTTTACATAGCCTATTACCTGTTCTGGGCTTGGCTCTTTGACTCAAAGTACAAAAATAAGCAAGCTCCTCATCAGTACGACGCCTTTATCTCCTACAATTCCAGTGATGAGTCTTGGGTGATGGGTGAACTGTTACCCAAATTGGAAGGAGAGCAGGGCTGGAGGCTGTGTCTGCACCATCGAGACTTTGAACCAGGTAAGACCCTTTCTACATCACACTGAAAAGTCTTTACATTTGCATTAAACTCTGTTTGTCTGCTTCAGTTGCTCAGGACGAAGGAAGAATAGATGTTAAAGAGGTTGAATGTTAGAATCTGGCAGTATTTGAACATAAAACCTACCTTGTGCAATCTGCTAAATGTCAGTGTTAACATTCTACATTTGAGGACTCGTACTCATTGGGTTTGTATTTGACAATACTTTACAATCCATATGTTGAGTAATTGGACTACTTGAACACAAAACCTGATCGATAAACCAAAATTGAGACGCTTTGAAAATTGCAGGTATGGCGGAGTGTCTATGAGGTCTCCTTTGCATGCTTTAAAATTCACATACCGTTTGATCTTCTCGTTAACATGGTTGCCATTTACCTAACCCCTGTTGGTCTCCATGTGTACCATATATCTTCAAACTAGATCATCACTTACCTTGACACACAAATGGTATTTTTTTTCCCTCAAGTACCACTATATTACAAATAGAAAAGGCCTTGGCCATCTGCAGACTCTCAGATTCAGACGGGAGCACTGTAATTTTCCTTCCAATGATAGAAAAGGTGACCAGATCTTTAGACTTGAGGAGCTGCTGAAGTGTCATGGGAGTTAGGTGGAGTCCACCTGAATTTTCTGGATCTGGAGAAAGTTTATGCATGTATCCCCTATAATGAATACTGTGGAGGGTCTTGCAAAAGTACAGGTTGCTGGGGATGCTTTGAAGAGCTGTATTTGCATTCTTGGGAATGCATGTCCAGGACTTACAGGAAAAACAGAGACTGGAAAGCAGGAGCATGAAAAAATGACAAGACAACAGCAGAGAGTGAAATAACAAGGAACAAGTGGGGAGACTAATTAGGTGAGATGTTGAGAGTGCAGAGTACACAGACCCAAAATACACAACGGTACAATCACAACGCTCAAGATAAGCCAACCTTAGAGGGACGAAAACAGGAAGTAAAGCAAACTCAGAAGAGAAAGTCCAGGTTGACCAAAAACAAAACAGGAAACAGCAAATTAGAAAATCTGAAACTAAAGACCACAACTCCGAAGACAAGAAAATTAACTGCTTAACAGAATAAACACAAACTGTAAAAGTTAATGATAGTTCAAACTCTGGAACCTTTCCAAGATCGATTGGGGATTATAATTTCTTCTGCAAGGGTCTCTGGAGCTTCACATAATGGTAAAACAGTTTTTACTCGTGTTCACATCAGAGGAGGCACCTTTTTGGCATAGCTGTTAAGAGACGAACCGTCACCAAGTTCAGATGCAGATTCATTGTGTACTTTTGTCACATGTATAGCAATCTCATCTTCATCACCTAAATATATCTTTTGGTTGTTTCGAATCCTCTTTTTGGACTCGTATGCAGGACATCTCCGCCGTGCTTTTTATTTAGATAAGCTGAAATATTTTTCAGTCCAAGAAAGACCTTTCCTTGTGTCTGAAACAGACATCTTTGGATTTGGTTTTATTTTCTCAACATGATCCCAGAGCTGCTGTTTCTGGACCCAAAGCTTCAAGCTGTTGGTCCAGTTCGTCATTTCTTTTTACCCACAGCTCCTCCTTCCAGTGGTGCAGCTCTATTAGCCTCAGCTCTCTCATGTCAGACTCCAACAAGTGTCACTGACAACAGTTCAAGCAACCTATGATTCACGTTTTGGTATAAATTCCCAGAAACACTTTTTAATCAGTAACTGTTGTAATGTAACTATTTTTCCAGAGGGTGTCGCTGTTGTATATTAGCTGAACTATTTGAAAGTAGTCATGATGAATCCTTGAAAACCTCTGCGGTTTGCTGTTCTCCTCTGCAGGGAAGCCCATCATAGACAACATCACAGATGCCATCTATAGCAGCAGGAAGACCATCTGTGTGATCAGCCGCCGATACCTCAGGAGCGAGTGGTGCTCCAGGGAGGTCCAGACAGCCAGGTAAGCAAAAGAGAACAGCGCTGTCTAATAGTATTTACCGCCTTTATATGCAGGAATGTCCTTCATTTCCAGCATATGGCAGGAAAGGATGATTCTGAACTGTCTTTATGTGACTATGAAGGTTCAGAGTCCATCTGAGTCCATCACTACACCCAGACTTTAGATCGTTCCTCGTTAGGTCCAAAGATAATGACTTCAGTTTTCATTAAGTATCAATTAGGGCTGTTCTTAATGATTATATTAGTAATCATTTACAACATAATCATGCTGTAAATGATTACTAATATAATCAACACTGTTGTCCTAAAGCCTGTTGTTTTCTCTGCTTCTGGCCTCCTCAGTTTCCGTCTCTTTGACGAGCAGAAGGATGTGCTGATCCTGGTGTTTTTGGAGGACATTCCCACCTACCTGCTGTCTCCTTTCCACCGAATGAGGAAGTTGCTGAAGAAGCAGACCTACCTGAGCTGGCCACGCGCTGCAGACCACCCAGAGGTGTTCTGGGAAAACCTGAGGAAGGCTCTGCAGACCGGAAACGATCCAAATGAGGAGAAACTACAGCTCGCTGTGATAGAAACGTATTGATGAGAAGGAAGACAGCAATTAACGACTTCCTTCTGGATGATCTGGAATTATTTTCTGCAACGTGTGAAGGATTTTATTTTATCTTTATCAACTAACAGATATTGTAGTACGAGTTGGAAAACATGTTTTTAAAAGTTTCCAGAGCATTGTAGAACAGCTCTGGAAACTTTACTACAATTTCCTCTTTTTCTTTAGCATGATTTGATAAATATTGGTTTCTGTAATGTTGATCTTAAGGTTCTGTGTTTTTATGATTTTATACCAGTAAAAGTTATTTCTCAAGTAAATTTCACCTGTGGTTCTATACCTGACAGACTTTTAGTCGTGTTTAGTCAGATCCTGTTTTTCCTCCAACTGTGTTTCCATTTTAGATATTATTATGTGCATGCATTATTTTCTAAATGTTTTTGCCTCTTGGTAATGTTTAATAAAAACAAAAATGAGAAAATAGACTTAATTTATTTCTGTAAGCAATTCACCACATGCTACTTAGTAAAGCATTATATGATTATTTATTTACAAATTATCTGGGAAAAACTAAACATTTTTATTAAATTTAAGTAAAATAAATCAGCAATGCAGAAACACAAAACTGCAGCTTTTTACAAATATAAATAACTCACAGACTGAAAGCAAAACTATGAAAACTGAACATCCGGCACATTTTGATTTAGATGGAAAAAGTCCCAACTCTTAAGCTCTTTAAATAATTTTACTTCCTCACAGAAAGTGAACAGAGATGATTTTAAACTATCTGCACTTTCTGAAGGAGGGAAAAACCTTTTATTTATAGACCACTATAAAAATATTTACTTTTATTTATGATTAGTGATTTTGCACAGCAAATTAAAATGTTTTGAAAGACAAAACATAGAATATTTTTTACTTACCCATCTGTATTTAAAAACAATAAAAAGCGGTTATTTAATCTTTGTTGTAAAATGCAACATTATAAATTAAAATGCAAGTAACTAAAACTTTTATATAATTCTTTTTACTTATCTTTAAGCAGTTATCCACATCTAAGATAAACATTTTATGTTTGTTTTACATGTTCATATGTATGTTATGTAATTATGCACAGAAGTAACCTCCTACAGTCTTTGTTTATGTTGGTGAAAACAATTTCTGCTTTCCTTTGGTGTATATGAAAAAATAGATAATTATAGATATTATATCTTGTATGAATTTGAGATGTTCTAAAGTGTAGAAACCCAACAAGGTGTTCATAATTAAATGTTTGAAATGCTCAAATAAAATCAAATATACAGAATGATGTTTTTCCAGCTTTATTAGACACATTTTAACACCATTTAACTTTTTTTTGTTAAAATCTCTCAAATCACATGCATTTTAAATAAACAGCAAATAAAAAGTTGCATCTCTGCAGCACATTTACGTCAACCACTGTAAATGTAGTTATGTTAGTTCGATTTATTGTTAAAAAAACATACAGGTTATTGCCCCATTATCAGCACAGCTATAGATGTGGTATTATTAATACTACACGTTCCTGTTTATAAAACAGAAGAGATATTAAAAAAAAGGTCACAGAAAAGCATTAAATCCGTCACCATTCAACAAGACTTTTAGAGAACCTTAAACACATTTTTTCTTCTTTTTCCAGCCACTTTGTCTCCAAGTTACTGAGTTTTGTCGTCAATGCTCGGTTTCCCCATCAGGACTTCATTGACTCTCTTCTTCCGTCTCTCACTGCAAACAGCAACACAGATTTGATCAGTCAGAGGCTGCGAGAGCCGAAAGACGAAGCACGTGAAGAGCAACGTTTAAGATACTCACTCCACGCACGTCACGGCCCTCTTGGTCCACGCCTTCGTCGGGTCGGCGCACACGAACCTCCCGTTGACGTGGAAACTGCAAGACGAGAGCAAACATGCATGAGCAGTCGCTCCTGAAATCCAGAGGGGGGCAGACTTCCCAAAAACGAAGGGGAGCACCACCTCAGCATATTTTAATATTTAAAACTTGCATCATCAGATGGACCAAAATATAAAGTTAAGTGGAAATTTTGGTATTTTAAATACCAAAATGACAATAATTCAAATAATTAACAAAAAAAAACAAAATTAGACCAAAAAAATTTTTTTTTTTTTACCAAATACTTAAAAACTTTAACAAAATCTGTGTGTCTGTGTCTGGTGATGTTTGGGTTAAAACATGTTTATGCATATAGCAAAATATAATAAATTAATTAATCATAGATCTGGGTGGATCAATACCTGCTAGAAAGGTGTGGTATAATAATTCTGGGAAATAAATAAACATCTCTAATAAGATTTTAATTTGTGGGGAATAATTCTGACCTTATTAAAAATAAAACAAAAAAGTAAAATTTATATCATTCTTGAATTGTGGGCCGCTCAAAATCAGTTCCACAAATGGCCCTCGCGCCACAATTTGGACATCCTTGGTTTAATACACCTCTAGGTTAGTAGATCAATGTTGTTCCCTTCATAAAAGTGTATAATTGGACAATTTTCTACTACCTGAGTGTTGTTTTCATACATAAAAATCTTAAAATATTACTACTTGTAAAGTGCAAAGTGCGTGGATTCATAAAAAAAGAGAAAAGAAAAAATAAATAGATCTGTGAGCTACTCCCCAAAAATTGGCACCCTGGGCTACCACCCTGTCTAATGTCTGACCCAGTATCTAACATTCACTGTGCAGAAAATGAACACAGTTATTGCAGCTATTTTTGCATCTGTAAGGTAAAAATAGCAGCAATAACTGTCCCTTAATGGTGCATGTTATTAAAAAGAGACTCTGTTTTTCCTTTAGCAGCTCCACAAACTCACATAACTTTTTTTTAAATAGTATTGTCCAAACTCACATGATGGCATTGATGTCACAGGAGCCGTGGATGGTCTGAATGCTGTAGTTCTTCACCAGAAGGCAGGGCAGCTTCTTTTTGGTGTATCTGGTGCAGCAGCTCGCTGCGAACAGAAAAATCAACCGTTAATGAATCACATTTTCTGTAAATATTCACCTCAAACTCATTGGCGCTTCCACCGATCCGACTCACTCACCTGAATCTGAGCTGCAGACGAAGCTGCAAACAATGAGGAAGGCGCAGAGCGCTGCAAAGAGACGCGCCTTGTTGCTCTCCATTCTCACGCGCTGCTGGTCTCAGTCTGTCGAATGTGAACGAAGCTGCAGAGGCGCAACAAGTCTGAAGGAATTCAGTGATTGCTACACAGCAGGTGCTGCGATCCCTCCTTTAAATAGGCCGTGGAGCCAGCAGTGGGACTTCCCAGGTGGGCTGGGTGAAGTGAAACTATGTGCTTTTCTTCGGTATAAAACCAGGAAATGATTGACAGAAAGTCTGGAAATTTCATCAGGCTGAAATCAGCTGAACAAACAACTAGAATTAATAATTCACTGCATGGACGAGTGTTGCACTGCAGCTTGGAGTTCAGGATAATGAAGTCTGAATCAACGCTAATGCAAAAACACAAAATATTAACTATTTTTGGTCTAGTTTCTTGTGCAAATATCTTAGCACACTTGAAATAAGATAAAACTAACTTACAGGTGACATTTTAGAAAGACAGAGGAGCTTGTTTTAGCAAAATAATTTGTTAATATTGATGAAAAAGTACTGGTTCCACTGGTGGATTATTTCATTTATTACATGGGAAAATCTCTTGCTATATATTTTAACAATATTAAAGGATTATTTACCTGAAACAAGCTCTTATATCTTGATGAAAAGTTACTTGTTTTGTCTTATTTTAGGTGCACTAACTGAAACTAGACCTAAAATAGTTCATAGCATTTTGGGTTTTTGCAGTGGAGGGAAACCTAAAAATAAGTTTCCTTTCATAAAACGGTAATTTTGAATTTAACATAAAGATTTTCAATGCAGGATTTCACAAAAAGTGATAAAAATCAAAGAAAGCATCAACATGCAGGTCATATGATGTCTGGACTGTAGCATAAAGATGTCAATAATAACTTACATTTAAAAATTATTACAATTTTAAAAATTTTTAAATTTCATTTAATTTAGAAATAAATGGGAAAATCTTCACTTATTACAGAAATCCTCTCCTTTTTGTAACTGCTCAGCAGTTTGTTTTTTGCATATTTTCAAAGTTATTTTGATACTTTATCTTTGGAGATAATCACAAACTCTTTGAGGTTGGAAGGACTCCTTGACATCACTGTAATATTTAGCTTCCTCCAGATTCTCCACATGGTGGAAGTCTCTCACTGCGCCGCTTCATTAGCACCGGTCCAAAGATGAAACTAAACCATCACTTTAAACCTGAATCTGAATAATTTGGTGCTTACCTGAACATGTAACGTCAGTTTGAATGAGTCTTACCAATATGTTCACATATTACAGCTTCTGTAAAGTGTTTTCTATCAGTGCTGACCATTACTGCAGTAAAATTTGACTTATTCTGGGCAGTTACTAAATTTAGAAAAAAAATCCCCTGTTACCAACTCAAACATTGGAGGCCTTGGTTGATTAAACCTCAGATATACTCCCATGATGTGGGAAAAAAACCCACATCATGCTATTACAGTTCATATTAAAAAACGTTTCCCCTCCTGTTACTGTGTTTTCTTTCTTTTTCTAAAGAAGTTAATTTGAATTAGAGTTAATGTTGCTCTTTTCCTGGTAACATGACAAGAGGATTTGGTATTTAACAGAAAACATCCTTTGGACGGTTGGTTGGTTCAATCAACTTAATTTATGATGGAACTTATCTAAAAATCTCAGGGATGATCTGTGGAAACAGTAACTGCGTTCCACTACGAATGTACGCAAAATCTTTGTCAAAAAAACAAAATTTCCATTAAATATGAAATATAATCACATGGGAATAAGTTTGTTCACGCAACAAGTCACTAAAAATCATGACGAGCCATAATCCTCCAACTACTTCCTGTTGTCTTCTTTGTGGTTTCTCCCAGTAGTAACATCTGGTTGTTGATGTTACTACTGGGAGACTCGTGACTCGTGTAATGCGAAAAAGTGTTTCCATTGTAGTTTTGCAAAATAAATAAAACAAACAAAAAAAAAAAACTATCAACCTACTGTAAAACAAGTTTTTTCAAAATTGTGTTTCTATTAAACAAATTTACTTTCAAAATGTGTGGTTATAAGTCGTTAAAATCATGGTGGCGATGGATGTAAACATTTATAATTCAGCGATGGCGCTAGCGCTCGTCATCTATCAGTCATCAGAGTCGGAGCGATAGACCCGCCTACTTGGGAGCGGCTACGTAAGCAGCGTTTTGGGGAAATTGTAGTCGGCCACTTTACTTTAGTGCTATGGATTCGACACATTCGAATGATGTGCAACTTTTTATGAACTGTGAGATGCTGTGATTTTCTTCTTCCTGTTGTCTTCTTCAACGTTTCCAGCAGTAGTAACATCTGGCTGTTGATTACGTGACTTGTGTATTGCAAAAAAGTGTTTCCATTGTAATTTTGCAACATCCCACCTCAGTGCAAAAGCTTTTTATCAATTTTTTTTTATTTTTTAAATTAGCACGCTTATCACATTAGCGCAATTTTACGGCTAATGGAAACGCAGCTACTGATCAGCGAAGGCTTGAATACTTATGTAAATGTGAATTCTTGTTTTTTTTCTACTTTTAGTAAATTTGCAAAACATTTTTAAAAGAATCCAAATTGTAGTAATTTGGCACTCATGTGTTTAAGGAATGAGATTAATCTAATACAATTTGGAATGAGGATGCAACATAAAATGTGAAAAAAGCGAAACTGTGAATACAACACAGTCCTGAACATTCAGCCTCCTCTGCACATTTTTTTCCAACAACACTTTCCAAAAAAATAGTCACTCAGTAATCTTCTTCCTGGTACTTCTGGAAGTGGAATTTCCTTTTTGCACGTGCACAGTGCATGGTAAATCAGTGACCTTGTGCATACAGTCGCTTTTGTCGGCTTTTTCGGTTTCCATAAAGGCCGTCCAACAACAAAAACGGAAAAAAAACAAAGTAAAAAATGATTCTCAATAAAACCATGAAGGGGGAAGTAGGTTATCAGAAAAAGCAGGAAACTTTTTTTTTTTCTTTTATGATCTGTGTGACAATTTAAAAAGTCTTTTGTTTTGTGAATGTTGATGTAGAAAGTCCCCAACGATCCTAATCGGGTCGATCTTGGGGATGCACACCTAATAGATCTCGCAAATTATAGCAAATTCACTCCATATTTTCCTCAGTTTTGTAAGATAATAGTCTAATATAGTATTAGACTATTACCTTCTGCTTAACTCCTTTGGTTGTTTTTGTAAAGCAAATCCAGAGAATAAAAATGGTTTAAAGGCAAAAGCAAAATAAAACACCCTCCTAATGTAAAGTTGTGTTTGCTCAACCATAACCAGATGTTTTTTCATCTTCAACAACAAACACAACAGGAGAAACATGCAAAAACACAATTAATTACACATCTAAGGCTGCATTTCTACACTATATTTGTTAATCTTGATCAGGTAGAACTACATTTGTTGGTAAATCCATGCTTTTAGTTGTCTAGAAAGTCATTTTTTCCCCAGTACTTTATTAAAAAAAAACACTCCTTTAGAGAGGTAATCATTGATGTAATTTCTGCATGACTGCCAGCTATTGTACCTGTGTTCTCCCCAGAGACGTCTGAGTGTGTTGCAATACCTACCTCTGAGAGGAGAAAGAATATCAAGCACGATATCCTGAGAAATGTTATGAAACAACATCATGCGAGATGAACAACAGCCGTCATTATGCTCTTCAATCTTTGCTTCTTAATATTAAAATTCCTCAAACTATATTAAATTAAGATATCTCAAAAACAAACTGAGGTCAATAGAGGATAAACATGGATGAATGGCAATGAGTGTATACAGCAACTTTCAAAGATATGACAACTAAGATACAGAAAATAAATAAGAAACCACAAATTGACCGTAGCATACTTTCAATCCAACAACCAAACAGCAATCGTAAAGTACTCAGAACAGAAACAGCGACCGTCTGGTATTTGTAGGAGTTAAGAGACCAGAACCGCCCATGAATAGCAGAAATCTGCAAATACTTGAGCTTCCCTCTAAAAATGCTCACATTTTAACAGTTCCAACATAAAATATACCTTAGTAAGCCAAGGAAGACCGATGGACGAAGCAAGTAGATGGATGCAACGTACATCAGGGCCTTCAGGCCTGAAAAGGCTTGTTTATGTTTGTCCACATAATGCTAATCAGAGTTTAATGCTGGAAAAAACGATGCCAATCAGGCTGTTAGAAAACCCAAGCATCGAAACCAAAGTAAACCGCCGGTTATGACAGACAATTCAGTGTACCAGACAAGTTCTGATACGTAGCTCTTTAAAATGGTCGTAATTACTGAAGACTGAACTCAACAGACCCAGTAACATTTACTGGGATCGCGTGCAGGTGGATCCGTAAACAGATAACAATCAGCGCCCTTTTCAAAGACCAAAACAAGCTGATGTTTTCTTTGCAAAATAGTTCAATAAAACACATGTTAAGTTATACTATTTGCTTTTAAAGGGTTTTAATAAAGTTTGTGCTTATACCGTGTCAAAGTTTAAGAAAGTTCAGTAGCTGTCAATACCTTTACAGCATGCCTTTGCACTCACATTGCAGTGGCATGCAAGCATCATAAAAACAAAACCAGTGTCACAACATGTTACAGAAAACGTATCGCATTTCAAAAAGGCCTTCACCTTTCACTAATTTCCTTTGACTCAAACTACAAGACAGGAACGTTTCCTCGTAGGCAATGCAAATTGTGACCTTTTTGTCAATGGACAACAAACAAGGTATTTTAATAGCCTCTGAGAAATGTACCCATGATGTCACTACAAATTGTGAAATGCAGCATGGTTTGGAATCTATTTTTAGACCAAAGGTGACCAAACAACAAACTAAAAATAGCACAGACAAAAAAGTTACTCATTGATGATAACGCTCAAAGGTCAAGGATGGGAATTTGGGTTTACAATGGTGACGCTTGTTTCCTTGTTGGTGATGCAACTCAGAGTCCTAAAAGAAATCTGATCAGCCTTGTAGTAAAACAGTTGAGTTTGCATTTCCCAGATGGGTGAAGCGCTTAGAAAAGTATTGAGAGATTTCTCCCAAGTTAAATATTTTTTTCATGTTAAGATCCAAAATGCATTGAAAGTTGTTCAAATGCTGCGTTCATAAAAAGCTTAAAGACGATTATGTAACTAAATTTAGAAAAAGCAGCAACTTCACCACTCTGGTGCAAGATCTGGAATGTAGAGTTACACAGTTACTAGATGCCAAGACTGGGAAAAACTAACTTTGATTCAAATCGGATGCTTCATTCACAAAGTATTACACTTTTTGTCAAGGGGCAAAAACAGGGAATGTCCCAGTTTTAGACTAGATTAGTGAACCTTTGAACTCTGTAGGCTCTGACGCATGATTTTTATTGCAGATATACAATTACTCTGCTATAAATGT